CTGACATGAGGCTCGATCCCAGGACCCTGAGATCATGACCTGAGCTGCAGACAGATACTTAACCGACTGAGCCACCCAGGCACCCCTCCTGTTCACATTTTTCTACCAAAGCCTACTCGACCCCTTTCCTTCCCTTTCCCTATTCTGTTTTTCCCTGTTCCTATATCTGTTATCCATTTCCTTTTGCCATTTTGCTCCTTCCTATTAGCCCCTGGGGACACTTGAGGGCCTGTCAGCATAGCATTAGGGAAGTGGCTTATTTTAAGTCCTCCCACCGTGTGCCCCTCCAGAACCTCAGGTAACACCTTCATTGTGATGCTGTGTACCTGCCCGTGTTTCCCACAGTGGGGCAGCGAGGGGGCTCATCTGAGCTTGCCTTCTCCTCTTTGGTGACACACTGTCCTGTTGGAGCTGTTCCCTACCACCTTCCCTCACCCACTGCTCGTCTCCTTTCTGGGGGCTCCTGCTTCCCCAGGCATCACTGTGAAGAACAGCGGTTCTCAAACTTCCTCCAGGTCCCCTAGAGGCCTTGCAAGAGCAGACTGCGGGGCCCCTTCCTCCTGACTTTCTGATTTGTAAGACTGGGTGGGGGCCCGAGAATTTGCTTTTCGAATAATTTCCCAGTTGCTGTGGGTTCAGGGACCACACTTTTAGAACTGCTGGTGAACAGAAGAGAAAATAGGGAGCAAACTCACTTGACTTCCATTATGAAGTTAGTCACTGAAGGCTCAGTCACCCAGGCAACTTATTTGTTTTCTTAGAGGCTCAGTATCCTCAGCTGTAAAAATATGACGATAATCTCACAGAACTATTTTATGGAGTAAACAAGATATTGTCTTTCTGACTTTCTATGTGAGAAGCAAAATTTATTAAATGGGATCTGAAGCACTGAGGTCCCTTTTACTAGCCACGTAGGTGGCACTGGCCACCAACACCAATGCCATATGGTGTGATTAGGGATGTGAGTAACCATTTCAATGCACAAAGTCTCAGGATTCGCTCACCTTCCCCTGACACTCCCTCTCCCTGCCAATGTGTAGTCCAAACAGAGAAGGAAATGAAAGTCGCTTTCATCTTCCTGGTCCTCATTCCCCTCCCTCCCTCACTCCTGCCGCTCAATCTGGAATCCTGAAGCTAGTGCAAAGGGCACATTATGTCCTGAGAAGGAATGTACAGGGCTTGCATTCCTGTGCTCAGAAGAGGGTATGGTCTAATGGGTAGGAAGTGGGAGCGGTAGGGTGGTGGGTTCTATTTAAAGCCTCCCCATTGACTCACTGAGGCATCCAAGGGAAATGGTTTCACTTCTGGGCCTTTGGGTTTCCTCTTGTTAGAGGGAAGAACAATATCCCCTTCTTAGCAGGGTGCTTCTGAGGGCTGAGAAGTTGGTATTTGAGAAGCCCTTGGAGCTGGGGAGTTACATAGTCATACCAAACATGGAATCTAGAGAAGCACATAATTCCTCCCTCTTCTCAGAAGCATGACAGAATGCTTATGTCCAGTCAGACAGGCAGCTCAAGACTCCAACCTGAGCCACCTGAAGCTCTGCAGTTTGGAAATATTCAAGATAATGAGAATTTTGTAAGCAATCCTGCTGAGTCAGCATGCCCCCTTTCCCTGAGGTTTGGGGCAAACAAAAGCAGGGAGCAGGAGGGAGCCCTGGCCCAGGACTCTGAATGGAAGATGTCTGGGCCTCGCTCTGTCTGTCACACCTTTGGAACCTTGGGCCAGAGCCTGCACCACTCCAAGTCTCAACCTCTGGTGATCTCTGACACCCCTTCCAGCTCTTTGACATCCCTGAGGTTCTAGAACCCTGATCCATGAGGTCTCGTCCAGTGTGACCAAGAAGTCAAGGAAGTCAGTGGAGAATAGCTCTTGGTCTCCACTAAGAAACCACACAAGTCCTGTCCTCAGGCTTTGCCTTCCCCCGGCTTTGCCTTCAAAGGGCTCAGAGAATGACCACACAAGCTCACAGTTAATGCTTCCAAGGGTTTGGAAAGGCCTTCAAAGAACAGAGGGAAGGAAAAGGAAACTATGAGTCAAAAGCCACAAGAAAGGCAAAAGGTAGGGAAAAGTCTATCGACTCCTGCCAGGTACCAAGCTGGCTGCTTTATATACATGAATTCATTATCTTTTCATCCATCTTATGAGGTAGATTTTTTTTTTTTTTGCCCAATTTAAAATTAATCGAAAGTGAGGCCTAATAAATTTCCTAATGTTCCCAGAGCTAGTATGCGGTGCTTAACACAATGTGTGTTGGACTCTACAGTGCTCCCTCCCAAAAGACGTGACACTTGATCTGGCCTTAAACAATCACTAAGATCTCCCCCAACAGCGAACAACCAGTTACCCAGGTAGAGAGAGCTAAAGGAACGAAGTCACGGATATCAAATGGGGTCAGAGGCCACCACTTAAGGACAGACGCCGGCAGAGGCGGGAGAGGAGGTGGGAAGTGGGGGGCAACCTCGTGTGTCCTGTATGCAGCTCCAGGCAGTGACGAGCCATGGAAATGGAAAACAACGTGATCCGATTTTGCCCTTGACATTTGCTGCTTTGATAGCATTGTGAAGGATGATGGGTTGGAAAAGTAAGATTCCCAGGCACTGATGAAATGTTACGGGGGAGGGACCGATAAAGAGATGATGACAGGAACCCAGCAGAGAGACGTGGAAGGCTGGAGCCAAGCCCTTGCCCCTCCCATCTGCGACATTTCAGTAACTAATGGAGATGCAGGGAAGCCCACGGGGTATATACTCGGAATTCTGAGAGTTGTCAGGAGACCTGCCTGAGCCCCTGACCATGATCCTTGGGACCACATAGTAGGTATGCATTTAACAGATCAGGCCCTGAAGGTTTGCAAATTCATAAGAGGATGTTTCAGAAACAGACCTGGTCCTCAAAGCTTCAAGGCCAATGGGGATTCTGATCTCCTTTGGGAAGGACCTGGATTCAAATTTCTCTGGACTCTGCCAAATATACATCCTCTAAATCAAAGGAAGAACCATCCCTGCCCAAACTGGCCTTTGACGCTGGACTGTCAAGAAAAACACAGGGTTCTCACACACCAACCGCTCTTGCCTGACCCAGGAAGAGGACCAGGCACCCCAGGTACTGGTCCTTTTAGACTGGATGGTCTGAGGCGTGGGGCTCAAGAGAACTGGGGCCACAGCAGCCCTCCGAGAAGACTGGGCTTGAGTCCAGCCCACCGAAGGGAGCTGCCAGGGTGACAGGGAAACACACAGTGACAGAGTGTGACGACAAAGAAGTGACTTCACCGAGCCATCCCATCAGAGATAAACACGGGCCCTGCCGAGGCCTCGAGAGGCCCAGACAGAGGCCAAGAGGATGTGGAAAAAGTGAGATGTTCGCACCCGCTTGTGAGGAGCCGCCTTGACTGTAAAAGGGGTCACAACATGGAAATGATGACATTTCCTGTTCATTTGGGAAAATCGAGGCCTGGTTTCATCTTTACGTCCACCAAAAATCCACTTGTCTCCTTCAGCTCTCACCCCTTCTGTCTTTTCCTTCACCGACTCAGAAGGTGACAGGGACCACGCACCACGTGCTAAGGGCTGGACGCACCAGCCTGGCACCACGTGCATTCGCCCTAGTGACCAAGACAAGGAGACTGCGAGATGATGGGGCTGGGTTTGCACACTGCCCTGTACGGTCCCTCCCGGTTAAAACAATCTCTCATTTGTGTCTTTCTCTCAGCCCCCCACTCCTCTGTCCACTTATTTTCATCTTTTTCCCCCTTTCTCTGTTTTTTTCTGGCTTATAAAATCTAGCTCGTGTGAGTAACGTTCATATGGTTATGAATACAGTCGGTTCTTTGTCATCTGTGATAATGAGAGGCGGGTCATGTGGATAACCCCAAACTGCAAACACTATTCATATACATGACTGAGGAACATTCCAGTCTGACTAACAGTCTAATATTTGGTTTGGGCTGCACTCTCTGAGTATCCATTAGCTCGTTAGCAGGAAGGGCAGAGAGGTTAACCGGGCAAGCCTCGGGAAGGACGAAAGGACAGGAGCCAGGGCGAGAGTACGAACACCGGCCAGGTCTCCTCCACTGAGCAATGGCCTCAGTGTGCACTAGATTTTGTTGGTTTGTGTGATGAACGCTGCAGTTGTCTGCGTGGATAGCATGACTGGGAACAGAGTGCAGGCTGTCATAAGAGAACGTGATCATTTGCCAGAGGTTTGGAGAGACTGAGCCTCCAGACCGAGTAGGGTCAGTATCTCAGTTCCAGCGTGGCTCAGCCTGCAGGGACAGGGCAAGGACTCCTCACCAGGTTCTGCTGTCAGTTTGATTCCCCGTGGGTGTCGCTGCACTAAGGAAACTTTCTTGGATGTGTACAAAACAAGACTGGATCCTATAGGAAATGTAAATTAGCTATACTCTAACACCCAGAGATGAGCACCATTAACGTTTTGGTTTATTATTTTTATTCTCTTTTTTAAGGTGACAGATGACAGATGATGGTTAGATAGATGGGTGGGTAGATAGGTAGAAAGATAGATGATAGATAGATAGATAGATAGATAGATAGATAGATAGATAGATAGATAATAGATAGATAGATGATAGATAGATAGATAGATAGATAGATAGATAGATAGATAGATAGATAGGCAAGTAGCAAAATAGATGCTACATAGACAGATATAAAAGGTAGATAGATGTTCCATGTATAGCTTTATATGCTACATTTTACTTATATAATCTTGTAAGCATTTTTATGTCATTTGGTTTTTCTAATGTCTATAACATTTAATTTTATGCATGCATAGTCATTTATTAAATTTCTATATTATTGAGATATTGTTTCCAATTCTTTGCTTATTGTATACAATAATGCAATGAAAATCCTCCTGCACAGATATTTCTTTGAATCGTTGAGTTGTTCCTTAGCAGAGATTCCTTTTAAAATGAATTTCAGAAAAAAAATGAATTTCAGGGTAAAGGGGTACAAAGATTTTTAAGGCTCTTGAATCAATTATCAAAAAGTTTTCTAGCTCTTTTTCATGGCTCTTCAGAGGCGCTGGGCTGCTTTGGGATGAAGTTGAACATCTGTTTCCCAGCCACTGGCTGCCAGAAACTCACTGAAGTGGATGATGTTTGCAAACTTCTTACCTTTCGTGAGAAGCGTGTCGCCACAGAAGTTGCTGCTGACGCTCTGGGTGAAGAATGGGAGGGTTCTGTGGTGTGAACTCCTGGTGGGAAGGACAAACAAGGTTTCCCCATGAAGCAGGTGTCTCCACCCGTGGCCGGGTCCACCTGCTACCGAGTGAGGGGCGTTCCTGTCCCAGACCAAGGAGGACTGGAGAAAGAAAGCACACATCGGTGGATGCCAATCTGGGGGTTCTCAACTTGGTCGTTGTAAGAAAATGGGGAGAAGGATATTCCTGGCCTCACTGATTCTACTTACCTCGTCATCTGGGGCCCAAAAGAGCTGGCAGAATCCACAGACCTTTCAGTCTCTCTAAGAAGATGCTGCCCACCAGTATGTTGTGAGCAAGCCCCTAAACAAGGAAGGTAAGAAACCTGGGACCAAGCAGCCTAGATTCAGAGTCTTGTTACTTCGCGCACCCTGCCACACAAACGTGGGCGTATTGCTCTGAAGAAACAGCATACAGAGAAAAATAAGGAAGAAGCTGTAGAATATGCTAAACTTTTGATCAAGAAAATGAGGGGCAAAGAAAAATGCCAGGAACAGATTGCCAAGAGATGGAGTCCTCTCTGTCCTCTTCAATGGTTTCACCTCTGAGTCTGAGTCCAGCCAAAAAGGAGATGTTCAAGGGGCGCCTGGGTGGCTCAGTCAGTTAAGCGGCTGCCTTCGGCTCAGGTCATGATCCCAGGGTCCTGGGATCGAGCCCCACATCGGGCTCCCTGCTCTGCGGGAAGCCTGCTTCTCCCTCTCCCACTCCCCCTGCTTGTGTTCCCTCTCTCGCTGTGTCTTTCTCTGTCAAATAAATAAAATCTTTAAAAAAAAAAAAAAAAAGATGTTCAAGAGTAACAAATAAATAAGATCAGCCAGCAGAAAAGAGAGAAAAGTTTTCTAGGTAAGTGGCAACAATTTATATTTTTATTAGCGGTGTAAGTAGCAAACACTTGCCACCATTAAAAGTTATGTTTCATAATGATTAGAACTTTACAAAGGTAAAAATGTGATAATTTGATGTTTTAATTAGGATTTCTTTGCATTTATTTTGCCAACATTTTTCCTATACTTATAGAACTCTCAATTTATAATGCTGCCCATTTTTCTATTGGAGATTCTTATTTATATAAGCTATTCTTTTTTTATAAGTTATTCTCATGAACTTTTTCTGTGCTGATATTTTTTTCTTCATTTGTTTTTGGTCTTTTAATTTTGTTGATGATTCTAATATTGAATATTTTTAGTTTAATTGTCCTCAAATCTTTGCTTTTACTTTGTAATTTCCTCCATGCTTTTATGTTTATATTTCCTTCTCCACTTTAAAGACTAGAGAATATGTATTCATATTTCCTGCTTGCTTTTTTTATTTTTTGTATTAAACTTTATAATTCATGTTGTGCTTATTTTGCACATAGGATGAGGTGAGGATTTTACTGGAGATCGTTCTCCAAACTATTGACTAATCCATTGGTTTGTGATGTTTCCGTATCACATATTACATTCCCATACATGCAGTACACACCTTGATGCATCACCCAGACTTCCCCCTCAGGAATGAAGGACTTACTCCTCCAGCTATAGGAAGATAGCCCTCAGTTGCCAGGCCTCTCTGGAAATTGCGTCAACAGAAAAAAACTGCCCTGTCCTGGGTCACATCTCCTTCCAGGGGCAGCCATCAACCAGTGATTGGTTGATATGGGACTACAAAGATCCTTTCCCCCCAACTAAGGAGAATTCTGACGGCCCTCTTAGCCCCACAGCTCCCTGTGTGGCTGAAGCCTATGTTGGGACTAAATCATAGCTCAGTTTCTCCCTTTGCCTGGTTTCACTTCCATCCCCTACTTCCTTCCATGCTGATGCTAAGGGCACTCCCTAACCAACCTAATCCTGCAACCTAATCACCCTCCCAGAGTCCCAGGAACACAGCCTTTGACATACATACATAGCAACCCACAGTCTATAACCCACAATGCCAAAAGTTCTGAAAACTGAAAGCTCTTTATCATGAGTTTGGTGTCAACATTCATTTGGGAGAAAAATATGACCCATATCAGTAGGAGGCCATTTATAGTTTTGATGTCTTCTGCCCACTTTTATTATAGAAATATCAGTGTATCTGATTATGGGGTACTGGTCCAGACTCCACTGAAAGTATTAAATATTATTTAGGATACAACCAGATTACCTTTCTAAAATACAAATTTCAAATTCCAAAACACACCTAGCCCCAGGAGTTTCAGATAAGGCATTGTGGACCAATACAGAGTGTATTTTGAAACTTGCCTTGATGCAGGTGTCCTTTTAATTGTAATATCATCATTAAGCATTTTGAAATCTAATAAATTAAAGTCTCTCCTTCAGCACTGCTATTCTTTTACAAAAATAACTTTTGTTATTCGCACCCATTTTACTCTTTGAAATTAACTTCAGAATCATTTACCAAATTACCCTCCAAACTGAGATTTTCACGGACATAATATTAAGCATAAAAATTAATCTGAGAATTAATATCTTCAAAGTATTTAACCATCCCATTTAAGAACATGAGAAACCTATCCCTTTGTTTAGGTTTACTTTTATATCTTCAGCTGGATCTAGGTGGATTTTAAAATTTCTTCAGATAAGAAATATATTTTGTTGGGGTTACAGCAATGACTTAGCATTAGTTGTTATTCTGAAAGAAACTAAAAACTTTTTCTATGTTAATTCTCCTAATTGTTTATTATTTGTGTATAGAAAAAAATAATTTCTTCATAGCTTTACTTTCTATTGCCTCCCTGAATAGATTGAATGTTTGTGTCCCCTCACAAATTCATATAGTATTGAAACCTACCCCCCAGTGTGATGGTGTTTGGGAGTGGGGCTTTGGGAGGGGAGTAGGTCTTGAGAGCAGAGCCCTCATGATTAGTGGGATTAGTGCCCGTATAAAAGAAATCCAGAGAGTTCTCTTGCCCTTTTTATCATGTGAGGTCATAGGGAGAAGACAGCTGTTTACCAACCAGGAGGTGGGCTCCTACCAGACGCTGAATCTGCCGGTACCTTAATCTTGGACTCTACGGCATCCAGAACTGTGAGAAATAAATGTGTGTTGTTTAAGCTTCAGTCTGTGGTATTTTGTTCTAACAGCCTGAATGGGCTAAAATATTTCCTTTCTGAAATTGCATTAATTCTAAGGAATTTTCAATTGGATTTCCTTGAATTTTCCCTATATTTACTTATGTCATCTGCAAATAATGATAATTTTGTTCTCTCATTGAATATTCATGCACCTTCTTTCCATTTTCTACCACATTGTGCTGGACATTATGTTCATAATGATGTGAAATGCTGATGGCAGGGGTAGGAATTCTGGTCAGCTTTCCAATTTTAATTGGAATTGTCCCTAGTGCTACACCATTAAACATCATGCTGGCTTAGACTTCAAGACACTTACTCTTAATCATCTACAGAAATATTATATTCTTAGCTTTCTAAGAGTTTCCTTTTCTTCCATGAGAAATAGGTTACACTGTATCTTACATTTTTATATCTTCAGAAATTACTGTTTTTCTCTTTTGAAATACTGCTATGAAGTAATATACTAATCAATTTCCTACTCGTAAACCATTCTTGAATTTCAGGATAGACTATTTCATTGTAGTGGGTGAGTTGCACCAATTCTTTACAGAAATATGGATTTTCACATACATTTTTATAACTGAGATCAGTCTATTGGTAAAGGTTCTCAGATGTGAGGCAGCAGAATCACCACCCGGGGAACAATTTAAAAATGAAGAGCACACAACCCAGAAGCTGTGACAGAAAAGAAAGATAAATTTGATTTTTGAATTTTAATTCTCCAATAGGAAAAGAAGCCCCCTTGCCAAAAGACAAATAGAAATTTGTTAAAAACAGCAAATTGAAGATCAATTCCGTATTTTACAAAGTGCTCAAGCAATCGATTACAAAAAGGAGAAGAAATCCAATAGTAAAGAGAATAATTACAAACAGGTAGTTTACAGGGGCCGGGGGGGAGGAAGAAAAACTATTAAGTAGACAATATAATTTGAAATAGTTCCCAAACTTTTTGATAGTCAAAGAAATACAACTCAAAACTAAAATAGATACTATTTTAAGTCTATTAATATAGCAAAATTCCAAACATTTGACGGCACCAGTCCAGGCAAGGATATGGGAAAACAGGCACTTGTATTCCTTATTGTTTCTAGAGAAGGGCTTGGCAATAGCTCTCAAGTTAAAAATCCATGTACATTAGATCCAGCAATTCTGCTGCTAAGAATTTGCCATATGGATGTATTCACACAATATATGTAGAAAGTGCAAAAGTAAACCAAGACAACCAATGTATTTACCAATCTGTCTTAATTTTAAAACATATCCTTTTGATGGAATAGTATGTTGCCATTAGAAAGAAAGAGATTTCTGTGTGCCGATAGGGAAAATTTCCAATATAGATTATTAAATGAAGGGAAGCAAATTGAAGACTAATTTTCTTCTCTACCATGTCTATTTTATAGCCTGTTTCTTACTTCTCAATTTCATTTCTGAGTACTCTCTCACTTTTCCCTGAGTATCCTTTACCTATTTTATACATATTTTTAAAGAAGCTGCCCCTTGAACTTTTTAATCAACACTAATTATTCTGTTTCTATTCTCTAATTCTTTAATATCTGCTTTTATCCTTATTATTTATTTCCCCTATTTTACTTACATTTGTTTTGTTGCTTTTGAAACATAAAACTGGAGATGCCTGGGTGGCTCTGTTGGTTGGGTGACAGACTCTTGGTTTCGGCTTGGGTCCTGATCGGTGATCTCAGGGGTCGTGAGATTGGCCCTCAGGGCTCCATGCTCTGCGTGGAGTCTGCTTGAGATTCGTTCTCTCTTCCCCTCTGCTTCTCCCCCTGCTCGTGCTCGCTCTCTCTCTCTAAAATAAATAAATCAATATCTTTGAAACATAAAACTGTCACTCACTCTTTCCTATTTAATCACGAAAGTATATGTTACTGATTTTGACTATGATATTCGCTTCATGTGATAATTTTCTAAATAACTTTCTCAGTATTAGTTCATGATCTGTAGTGATAGTTTTACTTTCCCTTTAGCTCGGTAGTTATTTAAGGAATTTTAAAGAAATTATCACGTGATTAAATGTATTTGTTTGTTTTAGTTATTTAAATCTGATAAAAAGCCAAAGTTGTCAGAAAACGTAATTATGCTATATCCATATTTTGAAATCCGTTGAGGTTTTCTCTTTTTTTTTTAAGATTATTTATTTATTTATTTGACAGAGAGAGAGACAGTGAGAGAGGGAACACAAGCAGGGGGAGTGGGAGAGGGAGAAGCAGGCTTCCCGCGGAGCAGGGAGTCCGATGGGGGGGCTCAATCCCAGGACCCCCGGACCATTACCTGAGCCGAAGGCAGACACTTAATGACTGAGCCACCCAGGCACACCAGACGTTTTCTTTGTGTCCTTAAAAATCCTGTTCTTGTTTTGTGAACATTCTACATGCATATTCTATTTTCAATAGATATGTATTAATTCATTCTTGTTAAATAATATTTATTATTTAATCCTGCTAAATTATATTATCTATCTTCATCCTTGATTTTTGGTTCCCTAATCTTTCAAAATACAAGAGGGGTGAGGTAAATTTTCTTTCCTACACTACTGTGTTTCTTTTATTATAAGTGTATCTTTTATTTTTAAGCTCAATTTCATTGTCTTTAAGTTATTAAAATATATGCTTGGTATGTTTTAGCTTCTTCGTTTTAGTCATGAAGTCGTTCAGCAAATATTCATTTAATGCTCACTCTGTTCAGTAACAGTTGACAGAGCCACTTGATACAGTTCTGGCCAGTAAAATGAAGCACAATTCTGCTATGGTATCTGATTCTCCACTTTCTCTTTCTTCCTGGCTGGATGCAGTCAACCGGCTGGAGCCACAGCAGTTACCTTGTGAGCAGGAGGGCAGGACCAAGACTTACAGATCTATCTCCCAAGATTATTTACTTCCTGAAACAACACCACCAACCAGCTACCTCTGGAATTTTTGTTGTAAGAGAAAAATAAATCCCTATTGTTGGATATACTGTTTGTTGGCTATTGTGTGCTTACAACTGAATACATTCCTAATTAATATGTCTTTGCATCTACTTCAGATTTTTCAGAAACATTTGAAACTACAATTTTTTAATTATAAAAGTAAGTACCCTGCACTAATTCTCCATGTAACAAAAGAAATTAGGATACTATTAACTATCTTCATTCTCCAATCTTTAGAAGTGTAATTTGTGAAATCAAAATTTTGTTTTGGTTAAATTTTTGCATTAAATGTTTTTTATATCATGTTACTTTTTTTTTTAAGATTTTGTTTATTTATTTGACAGAGAGAGGCACAGCGAGAGAGGGAACACAAGCAGGGGGAGTGGCAGAGGGAGAAGCAGGCTTCCTGCTGAGCAGGGAGCCCAATGTGGGGCTCGATCCCAGGACCCTGAGATCATGACCTGAGCCGAAGGCAGATGCTTAATGACTGAGCCACCTAGGTGCCCCTATATCATGTTACTTTTGCATTGAATTTTGTAATCGTAATTGTAACAATTATTTAGAATTAACATTTTTTGCTCAGTGTTATCAGTTTACACCATAGTTCTTTAATGGTTGGATTTGTCCATTCATGGGTAACAGTGTTGACTCACCTTTCAAGCAGCTGTCGTATGTCTTTAGGCACATTTGCTAACATCCACAAGAGTGCTATTTTTCTTTGAAATCCTTCCATGATTAAAAATGCCTTTCTTTGGCCTTTAAGCATGAACATGTTAGACGATAACCTTTTGTATAACTGTAAGAACTCTTGGGTTAACATTTTTCATCAAACTCTTACCTGTTTAATTCTAATGAAGTTTTTATAAAATATTAGGAAGAATAGCCTAAAGGTAGCACAAATTTTTTTCTCTGTTAGACTATATTGTTTTTTCATTCTTAAAAAAAAAAAGAGTTGCAATAATGTGCTACCTATCAATAATTTATCCTGGAAGCCCCTTGGATCACAACTCACATGATTGTGAAGTAATGATGATGCTGATGTTGATGATAATGGTGATGATTTTAGCTCAGGAAAGTTTTCTTCTATGTATCTTTCCTTATTCCTTCTTTTGTTTTGATCTCTTTCTTCTGAATGTCACTTGTCTAAAATTGGTTTTCTGTTCTCTATATCTCTGTCTAATTTTTTACATCTTTTTTTTTCAGCATTTATAGCCAGATATATTTGTCTACAATATATCTCTACATCACCATTGTCTCTCCATCACTGACTTGATTCTCTGCATTACCTATTCTCATTACTCTCGAGGCATATTTTAATTCTTCCATTGCATTTTTAAGTTCCCAGAATTCTCTTCCTGACTCTGTCAGATCCTTTTTCATGTCCATTGTCATTCCAGAGGCCACTTTTATCTCATCTCTCAACTTTTGCTTCACATGCTCACACTTCCTCCAATTTATTGAGAACACAAGAGAACATAGTCTAGGTGATTTTTCTTCCCTTCTACGTATGCTTTTTCTCACATGGTATTGTCCTTGGACAATACGGACTTATGAACAACTGGACTATTTTTTTATTGACTTCATGTTATCTTTCTGTTTGTTCATCCTTGACTAATGGAACTTGAGGATTTATTTTGCCACCTGAGTATTCCTTAATGGGTTGTTCTTTCCAGACATTAGCAAATAATTGACTGATAACCTTCTTTTCTGGTTGTTGTAACTTGGCACCTGAATAATCATAGCTGCTTTGAGGGAAAAGTGGAATAAGGTGAGTCAAGTGCAGGTTTCTTGCTGCCATCTTACCCGGAACCTCTGCCTTTTTCTAAAAGGGGAAACCTCATGATTCGTGGATGCAAATGACAGATCGCAAAACAATTTTTCTTTCTTTTTTTTTTTTAAGATTTTATTTATTTATTTGAGAGAGAGAATGAGATTGAGAGAGCATGAGAGGGAGGAGGGTCAGAGGGAGAAGCAGACTCCCTGCTGAGCAGAGAGCCCGATGCGGGACTCGATCCCGGGACTCCAGGATCATGACCTGAGCCGAAGGCAGTCGCTCAACCAACTGAGCCACCCAGGCGCCCAACAATTTTCCTTTCACTTAACAGTGATTTAAAAGGTGAGCCAGTAAGTTCGATTGCTGGTACACTATACCCAATCTGAAGGAGGGAAGCACTACAGTAGGGTGGTTCAAGTAGTTTTGGGGGTTTCTGCCTCTTACATGCTTCCTCACAGTGTGACCTCAGGAAACCCACACCTGTGAATCTCAGTTCTCTCATGTGTAAAACAGTGCTAATTATACCTCCCTCATAGGGCTGTTGGGAAAATAAGATAGTGTATTATATGTTGTAGGCATCATATTATTAACATATGTTAGGCATTGTTAATGCAGAAACTAATATATGACAAGTATTCAAGAAAGTATAGCAACTATAAATATTTTGTTCGCTGCACAATATCTTATAAGACCTGATATTTTCCATTTTTATTGATTTTTAAGGAAACCTTCTGTACTAATTTCTTTCAAGTACCTTGTAATCAAATTCCTAAACGAATACAATGGCACTTTTTAAAAACAATTTAATTATCTTTATTCACACAAAAATGCATGATCACAGACCCATTGCCAGCCACTAATCAATTTGAGCAAGTTAACAAGAATATGGAACCATTTCAAGAACCATTGGATGTATTCCTAAGAAACACGATTCAATTTCGACTCAATTTTACATACTGATAAGGAGCTTAAGAGGTTCATGATAAAGTCTTTTCATAGACTAAGAAAGACTAAAACGTTATCCAGAATTTTGTTTCATTTTTATCAGGTGAAAATGCTTTCACTGTTGACATTTTTGCCAGCTTCAGTTCACAGAAAGAATGTTTTCAGTTAGTTACAAACACCAAAATGGATCGTCATCTGGGAGGGAGGAAAATAGGGAACCAGAGACCTGGGGGGCCTAAGAAAAAGTTCGGGGAAACAGCACTTCCTTCTCTCTGGCCAGCCCTCCACATAAACTTGATCTAAGATACAAAGTTTGAATATGCTTCTTCAGATTGAAAAATTAGGAATACTTTTAATAACTGCCTGCTTTATCATTAAATTCATTTCTTTAAACCTTTGTGGGAAATATTTATACTGAAAATCCTCAGGGCGCCTGGGTGGCTCAGTCGGTTAAGTGTCTGCCTTCAGCTCAGGTCATGATCTCAGGCTCCTGGGATCAAGCCCCGCATTGGGCTCCCTGCTCATTGGGGAGCCTGCTTCTCCCTCTGGCTCTCCCCCTGCTTGTGCTCTTTCTCTCTCACTCTCTCTCAAATAAATTAAAAAATCTTAAAAAAAAAATCCTCTTCCATGGGTTTTCTGTGGAGTCCTGAATTACTGCTGGACAAGACTGGAGGAGATGGAATGCCTTGTACCCTTTCCCTGGGGTTGAGCAGCCCCGGGAGACGGTGAGAGAGGTCTTGTTCTGAAGCCACAGGTGTTATCCTGAACTCAGGGGAACTGCAGAATCGACGTCCTTTCACATCTTTCTGCTCAAGGGAGCCACCTACTGTGTCGCTTTCACATTGTCCACGTCCACCCTAGGTAAAAACAAGATATTTGGGGGAGAAATTACATTTTTAATGATTCAGACATTTTAATGGCTTTTTTCATTCTCAGAATATAAGTGTATCCATGACTTTAAGAAAGGGGTTCCTTCTACCTGAAGGGTAACAAATTCTCAAGAGTATTTGACTAGATATGAAAAATGCCAGAAGGCACTAGTGATTAAAAATCTAGCCAAGATAAAGGAAAAAAAGAATGTTTTCCCAATGATGGCGTAAGTTAACAACTGGGGAAAAGGAGGAGATGAAGCACGACTAACATGAGCCACATCCTTGTATTTCACAACTGGCTGTACCTGTAAGACCCGTGTGCGTAACATTTACCCTGCTCTTTGGAAGATGGCATAGGATGTTTGATGACCACTCTCCAGGTAGTCTGAAACCCCAGACTGGAGGCTCATATCAAACCAGCCGCCACAAATGACTACGTGACTTTACACAAATCCATTTATTTCTCTGAGGTTAAGCATCTTAAGTGTGAGGGCAAATCATTAAATGAGAGGCCCAGAACCATCTGTTTAAATAAATATGGCCAGAACACAAGCATATGGAAAGATAAAAATTAGGGTAACCCCAGAGCTCTCCCAAGGAACCCTACAGCTCTGTGGGACTCTGTTTGCAAACTAGGAGACCAAATGACTTCTTAGACTATCTCTAGCACCAATGCTCTATGGTTCTAAATGAAATATGTTAACAGCAACAACAACCAGAGCCCTGTGTCTCCATCTGTATAAAGCATTCGTGAGGTCCAGCCCAAAGGAAACTGGTCCATGTGGTGTCACTCTAAAGGTGAGGAAAAGAAAGTAACAAGGAAAAAAAAAAAACAACAACAAGGAAAAACTCTGCTCTAACTCAGAGTCAAACAGAGAGAAGGTGGTTAGTATTTTTGGATTTTTGCCAGAGCTCCAGCCTCACCTCTGAACTGCCCATGCAGGACACTGAGTCCCTTCTAAGGAAAAGAGATGGAATGTGCCAGAGCACTCGCTGACATAAATGTTCTTCCACTTGAAGTCTCTAGGATCAGCTTGTACTATGAGACTTTTCTGACACTTTGTCCTCCTAACAGGCTTGTCCTGTTTGTTGCTTTGTGAACTAACATAAATCAAATCGAGCAATGCCCTCAAACCACACTGGACTTGATAGTATAAAGGAAGACTAGAGAGGGGAGTAAGTGTGCAGCCTACTTTACAAAGTCAACAGATCATAAAAGCACTATCATTCCTGAGGCAGGAGTGTCCACAGTCACTCCTCAGCCACTCCTCACGCTTCCTCCCCCAGCTGTGGCCTCCCAGTCTCCTTTCCTGCTTATCACACATTCTGGGAAATGCAGGGAATTATACAGTAGTTTGTGACTTGTGATCACTAAGGGGTTTAGGATTTCTTATGGAAACCTTATCTTTAACCACTCAAGTTCCATCCCTTTGTTTTATTTAGTCTTGACATACAGCTGTTTCCATATTCATCCTTCACATGCCCAATTTCCCTAACTATTCAGGGATACTGCCAATCCTCAATGGATGCCTCCTTGATAGGAGATATATTTTCTGTATTATCTACTGTTGCAT